GTGGGCTGTGCTATCATAGAGCCTGTGGGCTGTGCTATCATAGAGCCGGTGGGCTGTGCTATCATAGAGCCTGTAGGCTGTGCTATCATAGGCCTTTAGTACTGCCCAATGGGTCAACATTCCGTCACATTCAAAGCATTTGCATATATATCAGCTTCCCACACAGGAGGAGACTTCTGAACCCAGAAAGCCACTTCAGGCTGATTAACCTGTCTGACTTGCTCCTCCCTGTTTCAGTTTCATAGGTGACATGTAAAGGAAGACAATGATATTTCTATTAAAGTGTCTCATGACCACCTTGTTTAAATGTTTCTGTTGGTTGGGGAGTGTGATAGTGGTAGTGACAGCTCTTGCTACCAAATCTGCCTGGAGAATAATGTATGTACATGAGTGGTCTTTCTATCTGGTCCCTAACCCCTTCCTCAACATAAATTGAGCTCAGGGCCAACCTGATCACCGTACAGGCGCTCCTAGTCTGTGACCCCGAAGTCTCCCTGCAGCTAGTCATTCACCATGCCAGCCTTTGGAAGGTCTTTTGTCTTCCATTGCTCTGTCGCTCCGCTCCGTAGGCTGGGCCCTTGTCTACATTTGAAATCCCTGGGGGTCTTGGAGGTTCTAAATGGTGATTCTCTAGGAGAGGAGCTATGAGCTCTAGCAAAGACTTCCTGACCAGAGCTTCCCTTTGCCTGCCCACATTCCTATTCATGTTTCTTCAGAGCCCGGCCCTCATTAAGTCTTTCTGCTGCCCACCCGTGCTATGAACGAGGCTCAGGTCCCATCACTAGCCATACGGTACAGAAGTACGCCAGACTCTCTGCTGACCTCTCCGTTGCTAGCAAAGGCCTGAGTGTCTCTTCCACCATGGTGTTAGCACCTCAACCTTTTGATACTGTGAACCCCAAAACTATTCTTTGGAGAGCAGATTCTTGAACCTCTAACCTTAGAGAGAGGTAACAGATAAGGACCATTCCTCTCTGATTGTGAAGGGGTATCATGTTGTGTCCAGTTGCGTTAAGGTCCTTTCAGGTGGAGTCAGGTAGAGTTTGTCTTCGATCACGCAGTTCCCAGGGGCCACTGTCACCAGCTTCTTTTTTTTTGTTTTTTGTTTTTTGTTTTTTGTTTTTTCGAGACTGGGTCTCTCTGTGTAGCCCTGGCTGTCCTGGAACTCACTCTGTAGACCAGGCTGGCCTCGAACTCAGAAATCCACCTGCCTCTGCCTCCCAAGTGCTGGGATTAAAGGCGTGCGCCACCACTGCCCGGCTGTCACCAGCTTCTTAACTTGGCCACTGGACTTTGTCCTGTGGCTTATGTGGCCTTAAATGGCAACAGCGCTGGGCATACATGCTGATAGCCTCGGCCCAACTTCGTATTTCTTCTGCTCTGCCCAGATGCCCCATCTTTACACATCCACTGTGTTCTGTCCTTCACAGAGTCCCCGGTGGCACATAGAGCTCCAGCCATGGGCAGGCCCTTCTCGGTCCCTGGATGAAGAAGCCTCAAGGTTCCTGAACTACATCAGTACCATTCAGGTTGTGTTTCAAGTTCACATAGGCTTGTGGATAATGTCAATGACCGAGCATTGCAAGAAGGCTTTGCTTCCTAGGTCCTGGGAGTTGTGAGGAGTTTCTGCTGGGAGCAGGGTAGAGACCCCTGATGCTACTCCGTTTTCTCCACACCCATGGAGGCAGAGAAGATGGCTTCTGTTTGCCTGTCATCTTCTTCCTTCCCGGACTCTCACCAACCTGGGATGTTCTAATGATTCATCGCCAAGTGTTTTAAAGAATCATTTTAGAAAATTGCTTTGGAAAGCCATTTGAAGAGACAGATTTGTCCCCGTGAGTAGGCAGTCACGTATGTTATAAAACCAAACCATCTTCCTTCCTGTTTGGACGCATCTGGCTGTGTCCTTCCCAGCCACAGGCTCTCCACACCCGGGCCGTGACAGGCAAGGAAGACGGAGGCTCTGAGGGGAACCACGAGAAGTTAATGACCCCAGCGCTCACTTCCCTCTCCTTGGAGCACCCTAAGTTGTAACTGAGCACGGCCTTTATTGATGGCTTAACACATAGTGGCAGCTCCTGCCCAGCTCCAGGGGTGAGGCAGAGTCAGGCCCTGAGAGCGAAAGAGAACGTCCATTGAAATGACTCTCGGGCTCTTGGCACATTAATCAGAAGGTTCACTGTCACATTGCCTGATTCTAGAGAACAGGCAGATGTAAGGGGGAGATAAAGGCCTGGGGGGTGCTTAGCCCTGGACTGAGAGGAGGAGGAAGGTAGCACTTTCCTAGCCTGGGAACTGAGCACAGGCTTACCCTGAGAGGCTCCCTGGGCAGGAGCGGCCTGTGGGAGGCGTGCTGGATGCTTACTTCCTTAGGTCCACTGGTCCCTTGCCACTGCACTGAGCCTCACTGGTAGCACAGTCCACCATAAAGGATGAGAAAGAATATAGCCTTGCTTTGAGGCTCTGGCTATGCAGCCCTGGCTAGCCTTGAACTCCTCCTGAGTGCTGAGGTCACAGGTGTATGCAGCCCAGGCTAGCCTTGAACTCCTCCTGAGTGGTGAGGTCACAGGTGTATGCCATTATGCCTGGCTCATTGCCAGAGCCGTAGGAGGTTAGTTTAGGTTAAAAATCTTACTTCTTACATGATGCAGTCAGTCATTGGAATTTTAATGCTTGTCCTCCAGACATGGAAATAAAAGCTTGTGGAATTAATTGTGGCTGATAGATTGATAAATCAGTCCTCATGCTTTATAGAAATTTATCTCATTTTGGCTGCTTTAAATTAATTTGGCGGATTTACCCAGGCTTAATTAAAATACTACAATTTTAATTTTACAATTATGGTTTTAGATGAAGGATAGGATACTAGAACTCTTAATTACAACCTAAAAACACTCTTTAAAAGCCTGGAGAAAAATTAGAGGCATTAAATATATAAAGTGAATCTGAAAATGATGAGCCCCGTGATCCATACAAGAGCAAATGACAATGTTTATGCTAAACTTCCTGCGTGTCTTCATAAGACAGTGATATTCTAAGAAATGGGCAAAGCACAATGCTTTCCTGCTTTGCACATGGAGGAAAAAAAAGGAGCCTGGAAGGAGCAGGACAAATGGACTCTAGATCAGGCATTCTAAGGATGCTGCCAGGAGATTTGCGGTGGGGACCTCCGCTGCAGGGATGTATGGGGTAGGAGTGGTGTATCTAAGAGCTAGTGGACAATGACAAGAGAAAGGTGACTTTAAAGTTTGTTTATTTTGTGTTATTGCAATCTCAGTGACCAAGAGGATTCAAGGCTATTCCACAGCCTCTGCATGAGAAGGCCACCCCACCCAAAAGAATCTGTATAGCTTGTTACACATAGGGAAAGTCAAGTCAATCGCTCCCTCTGAAGTTATAGTCCTTGAGAGAGTGCAGTTTGGGGTAATGATTGTACCAGGTTGTAATATTTTGAAACAATATGGCCTGAGCTCCTTTCAGACTCAGTGGAAGGCCTTTTGTCCTTCAGAAAATGTGACAGATTGCAGACCTCGAGATGGTTTTGTAATCAGGAGACATTTTATCCCAGTGATGGCTTCCAGGTGGGAGCCATCATAGATGACACTGATTCTTTGTTAGACTGTTTCGCTAACGGCTGCTTCCTCCCCTTCTCTATGCATGACGAGCTTTGCTGGTGCCTTTGTGACTTATGTCTCATTTAGAGATCATGTTAACAATGGAGGCCTACAAAACTTGCAGAATATTAAAGTCACTGTTACCTACAATTTTCTGTTAGCAGCAGTGAGTCACTAAGTAAATTCCACCCCCATCCTCCTATGCTGCTTAAAAAAAAATCCCTCAAATCTATGCTCAAAATGGTACAGCATTTGGTAAGCTCATGGCTGAGTTTTTCATGTGTCAGGACAAAAGGCATTTGTTGATCACCTACCCAGGGCCTGGCACTCTGCTAGTCTCTGGGATCTCAAACCTTAATAAAATGCCCTTCTCGAACAGTAAGTCAGATGTAAGAGGGGTACATCTTACAGATCAGAGGGCAAGCGTGTGGACAGGCATTAGGTAACTGTGGGTGTGGTTCCCCTATGCATACTGATGACCTTGGTGGCGTGATTATGGCCCTGCATTTTTTTTGATGAAACACCAGAGGATATGGCATTTGACCACAGTGTGCAGAGCTTCAGGTTCAGTTAAATTAGCAATATTGTTTTTCTTAATACGAGAGGCCCTGATTACACTACAGAATCTGGCAGGAATAATTCGGCGGACTGCTGACAGGAAACGGTTAACCCATGAGCACTTGCTGTGTTCTGAGGGAAGCCTCCAGAGCCAGCTTCTTAGGGCAACCCCCACACCATATGCCTACAGAGTTCATCTAAGCAACAGTGGCTGTTTTAAATAAGAAAAAAGTTTTAAATTCTATTTTTCTATTTATTACTCTCCATCTATAAGCTGTTACTTATCCAGTTACCTATTCATCTACTTGTAAAAATAACCTGAGAAGTCAGGCTGTAGACACCTGGAGACACAGATTAGAACTTTGCAACCTTATATCAATAGTATGTATTATAATTGTG